TTCTGTTCTTCCCATTATATGACTTTCTTTATTTACTCCTGCATTTGTATGTGATGCATCCTGAGAAATGGCTTATGGAATTATGAAATTTGCATTATTGAATGTAGGAAAATCTTTATCTTATCGATAAACATTTTTTTCTGGTGCATTCTAATAATTACTCTATTCTTGGGGCTCACATTTTTTGAAAGTGAAGAGGAATAAATGATGGGTCTTTTCTTTGTGGGTTGAGCCCTGATGCCCAGTTTCCCTTCCAGGACAGAGAGTACTTCATGAGCTAGTCCTTTTCAACAAGTTCAGAATCCTTAATACACACTATATCCTAGCAACCTCCCCTACTCCAAGTCAATTATGTGCTAAGTTCAGATAACTCTGCTCACAAATCTCTTTTGTAAGCTTCCATCTCCCTTTTACTTATTTCTTGCCTTCATAGTCTCTGCATTACCTCCAGCCTGCTATCAATCCTTCTCTCCATCCTCTAACTCCCTATTCAGCACAGCTTTCAAGGATTATCATTCTAACTTTTAGTTTTAGTTAGGTCGTCACCTTGCTTAAAATCCATCAAGCCTCTCCCTTTTGCTTGAAGAATTACTTATAACTCCCACAGAATTAGATATCCCTCCCTGCCCTATTTGAAGCTTGGCATTCAGCATATCTCTAATAGGCTTCAATGTATGTGGAAACTGACTGCAGGTTCCTGATGAAAATTGCCCTACTCAAAGTTGGATGTGGAAAAAAACTAAAGGTTTATTTCCATCTTAAACTTATGTAATGAAGGAATAAGCTCTTCATTCCTTAGCCATAAAAAGTGGGTAATGCAGGAATACAGAAGTAGTTGGAGAAGCCGGAGGATATTTAGTGTTTCAAATTAACCATTTTAGATAGAAAAGTACGACAAAAGTAATTTTATGTTATAACTTATTTGTGATATACTCAGTTTTATTGTTTTACTTCTAAAGAGATAGTAGAGAAGGTGTAAATATAGGGAAATTTTTACTGTTAAAACTGAAGTCTGTAAGCTTTCTGTTATTTTCTGGTTGCTGGGATTTTGAACTCAGGAACTTATGCTCTGTTTTGCTCACTTGCTCAGCTGCTACTCTGCTATATGATGTATGCCTCCAGCCCGGCTTTTTGCTAGTTATTATGGACATAGAGTCTCTTGAACTTTTCTACTTGGTCTGGCTTCAAACCTTGATCCCTCTGAATTTTAGCCTCCTGAGTAGCTAGGATTACAGACATGAGCCACTGGTGCCTGGCTGCCTTTTAGAATTTCTAGAGTTGGTGTTGGAAACATATACAGCTCACTGGCTATTTCCTAAAACAAAAAAAGTATTAGCATATATTAATTGGACAAAGCTATTTCATTGTGATATATATGTATGTCCACGTAATGTCCATCCATCAAATTTATCCCTTCTACTACTCTTTCTTATCCACCCTTGTCCATATACCCACACTTTTACAGTTTCAATGGATTTCCTTATGCTGGTTGTTAAAATGGTGGTACTGGGGCTTGAACTCAGGGTATCATTTCTTACTTAGAGCATTAGCACTTTTTCTAATGCCTCTGCTTCTGGCATTTTTATGGTTAACTGAAGATAAGAGTCTTTCACATTTGTCTGCCTGGGCTGGCTTCTAACCTCTATTCAGATCAAAACCTCCTGAGTAGCTAGGCTGGTAGGCATGAGTCACCAGCACCTGTAAGTGGCTATTTTTATAAACAAAGTTCAATTAGAATACACCTATATTAATTCATTTATATATTATCAGTGTCATATGTAGAATAGCTATAGAATTAAGTCATTACAATAAAAACCATATAGCTAGCATAGGGGAAAAGAATTGCAGACTGCCTCTTTTCTGAGAGTTTGCGGACTTTTTCTACAGGGCAGTTGAAGTTGAGGGGTGCAAATAGAGCTGTAGATAGGTGAATGAAAACTAATAGTCTCTGAGCAAATAATCTCACCCCTTAGTTTCCTTACTTCCCCATTTGTTAATCTTCTTGGAACTTAGATGAGAGCATGAATGAACTGAAATGGACTTCTACTTATGAATCTGAGTTTATATATTGAGGGTATCTTCATGCCCATCCTCTAACAGCAGTTTGTAAGAAAGGCCCAGCCAACATTCCTTTCTCTAAGGTATTGGAAAATGCATTAGTGAAAGGCACCCTTGCTTCTGTGAAGACATGTTGTAGGTCATTGAGATTGGCTTCCTGATTTCAGAGGAGATAATGGGATCCCGTAGTAGCAGAGGCCAAGTAGAAGTAAGCACTTAACCACTAAACAAAACATAGGTACTTCCTCCATAATGGAAAGGAGAGACACAGAGCTATCAGAAAGCATTGGCTTACAGATGTTTCTGGTATGAGATAATGTCTTTGAGAGACTCTTCTCCTCATGGCACTTAATGAATGATATAGGCAGTACTACAGTATTACTTATATAAGAGCAAAAATTCTAGCTCTATTAGCAAAAAAAAAAAAAAAGATTTTACTTGTTACAGACAAGTCACAGTCTCACTGAGTTTTCAGACTTGTGTGAGTTTGCAGATCCACAGCACTTCCCCCAAACGAGCCAGCCATTTGCTAGAGACTGCACTTTGCAGAAAAAGAAGTACTCATATGCTTTCCCAGGATTCCCAGATATCACAGTGGCAATTTATAGTGTTCAAGTAAGAGAGCGAGACTCACAGTGGGCCCAGGTGATCTGCAAATCAACTCTGTGTTTATGTCTCCACTTAATGTACAATTGAAAAGGGTAGACAACTGGAAAAAAAATCTCTGCAATGTCTCTCAAGTGAGGATCCTGTGAATGGGAAGTCAGAGGTAACTGTAAGTCAGAGGTAATACTGGCAGTCTTTTGAAATAAAACTTTTGAAATAAAACTTGTTCTATTTGTAAGATCCCCATTTAATTCACCTTTTTGACCTGTGCAGAAGTTAGGTACATCTTAGAAAATGACTATGGACTATCATAAACTTAATCATTGAGGGATTTCAAATGTAGTTGCCGAGCTAGAGATAATTGTTTATTGTTGTTGTTGTTTTGGTCTGTCATGGGGCTTGAACTCTGGACATGGGCACTGTCCCTCAGCTCTTCAGCTCAAGGCGAGTGCTCTACCACTTGAGCCACAGCACCACTTCCTGTTTTCTGGTGGTTTATTGGAGATAAGAGTCTCAGGACTTTCCTGCACAGGCTGGCTTTGAACCAAGATCCTCAGATCTCAGCCTCCTGAGTAGCTTGGATTACAGGCGTGAGCCATCGGCACCCAGCTAATAATTGTTTTTTAACCAAAGTACAGAGCCCCTGGCAGTTGCTATGTAGCTACTTGGCTAATGCCTTTTCTTCTGTGCTAGTTTACAAGTACCACCAAAAGCAGTTTGTTTCATCTCTCAGAGTCCATGTCTTCCTCATAATTGAGGCATTTTTTGGAGTCATGGTGTCCATGGAAGAATGCAGAACAATCCAATTTGAAATAGTATAAGAGCTAAGTTCTGCCTGTTCATTCAACTTCAGACTTCCCTCCAAATGCCAGAGAGTCCATTCTAGATCTTGAGAGTTTCTTATTTTTAATTTAGTGATAACTTTGGAAGAGAGGCTGAATAAAATGCCAAAGCTAATTTTCACTGATATGACATGTCCTTTAAAGTTTGTTTAAGAAACAAGTGTTTTTTTTCTTTCTTGATATTGTTTCTAACATATTTATAAGGTCATTGTTTTGTTGCTTTGTATGTCCCTCCCCCACAGTATAATCCCTGTTTTCACTGTATTCGGTGTTGGTATAATTTGGGGAGGGGAAGGGAAAAAAAGCAAATTGTTGAAATAGGGATACAGGTGGACCCATTGCAGCAATGAGATGTACAAAATGCTATGTTGAAAAATGAACTTTACAACTTTGTCTGGGGTGGAGGGAAGGGGGGGGGCGGGGAGAGGAGGGAGAGTGTAGTCGTGGAGATGGGAGGGCAGGGATGGTAGGGGTGGTAGGGGAAAAACAAAGGAGGAGGCAACAATGCTTGATAAGAAATGTATTTATTACCTTGCTCATGTCATTATAACTCCTCTGTACGGTATTTTCACAATAAAAAAAACTTATTTAAAAAAAAAGAATCAAGGGCAACAGGCATTTCTCTTCCTTTCTCCTTGCAAATTATTTGGCTATGGTTTGTGATTATGTGAGACTCTTTCACATTATATTTTTTTAAGCATCATGAAAAAAATCAGCCTCTCTTTGATTTGAGTTGTCATTAATGTCAGTACTTTTTTTTCTTTTCTGTTCTTTTGTTTGTGGTAGTTCATATTTGGGTTTCAACCTAGAGACACTTCAAGTAAAGCTGATGCATTTTCCTTTTGCTATTAGATTTTGTATTTGTTTGTGCAGTTGAAAAGAGTTGATAGGTGACAGTGAATTCAATATTCTTGATTTTCTTACTGAGTAAGTAAGTTTCGTCAGGATTCACAGGTACTAACTACCATGTGAGCATATCTGAGAGAATACTGAACACTCACTGGGCAAAGTTACTTTGTTATCTCACTTTGGTTAGCTGGAGTCTACAAGTTAAGGGTAAACTATCTAAAAAGGTCACTACATATGGATGGTTGGCAATGCATATTAGCATTGCTTCCTATGAATCCCTCCTTTTTATAACCTACTGAATAAAGTTCTTTGACTCTCCAGTTATCACATTAAGATACTCTTTTATAAAACTTGAAATATATATTAAAATGTATTTTATGCATATCATATGGTATGTATTACCAGAGATAACAAAAGTATTATTTTACTGGAGAGAAATCCTTAATTTTTTTGTAATCCCAATAGATTGTAGCTAATTATAACAATTATTTTCTTCCAGAATTATAATTTCCTTGAGGGAAGCAAGAGTTAAGTGTAAGACTGCATTGTTGATGCCTTCTATTCAGTTGTTGGTTAAATGAATGTATTTTATGGTGCCTGCAGAAAAGAATAGCTACTAATACCATTTATCATTTCTATTTGTAGGTATTGCTATTTAAAGAAAACTTCTTGCCAGCCAATCTATGATAAAATACATAAATAACAGAGGAAATCATAACTGTTATTTATCAAATAACAAGGATTTAATGTCAGAATGGCTCACCTAAGGCGATTAGTAAAATTGCATATTAAAAGACATTACCATAAAAAGTTCTGGAGGCTTGGTGCAGTAATTTTCTTCTTTATAATAGTCTTAATTTTAATGCAAAGAGAAGTAAGTGTCCAATATTCCCAGGAGGAATCAAAGATGGAAAGAAACATGAAAAACAAAAACAAGATGTTTGACTTAATGCTAGAAGCTGTAAACAATATTAAAGATGCCATGCCAAAAATGCAAATAGGAGCACCTGTCAGGCAAAGCATTGATGTCGGCGAGAGACCCTGTCTGCAAGGATATTACACAGCAGCAGAACTGAAACCAGCTCTTGACCGCCCGCCTCAGGATCCTAATGCCCCTGGTGCTTCTGGCAAACCATACAAGACAACTAATTTAAGTCCTGAAGAGCAAAAGGAGAAAGAACGCGGGGAAAGAAAACACTGCTTTAATGCTTTTGCAAGTGATAGGATTTCTTTACACCGAGATCTTGGACCTGACACTCGACCTCCTGAGTATGTTGAAGAATATTCCTTGTTTACTGTTTATCAGTAGGATTTTTTCAGGGAAGAGTCATTAATTAAGCAAATGGCTTGTTCTTTAGCCACTCGAAGGTAACACACACACACACACACACACACACACACACAAAACTTCAGCAATACTGTTTAGTCTGTAATCTGTCCTGTTTACTTCCTATATTTTGAGGCTAAATGCCCATATCTCTGCTTGGAGAAGCAGTACAGACATTTAAAGTTATCTGAATTTCTAGGTGTGGTGTGTACACACAAGAAAATCCTTTATTCATAAATGCTATAATTTCTTCATCTATTTAGGAGGAAATATTAGACAGTCTTTATGGAAAATGTAGGAGGTGGAAGTTATTTTTATTCCTTTGTATTGCTATATAATAGAAATGTTAAAAAAAAGTGACAAGACTTTGGAACTACTAGGTATTTTATGGGTTATAAACTACTTCACAGACTTTGTGATTTTGTCAATGCATAATTATCTTTCAGAATGCCCTATGTTCTGTAACCTTTCTTTTAAGGGGGAATATTGTTGGAATGTTGACATTAGTGTTTCCACTATTACTCCCCAGAGTTTTGCTGATCAAATTCTCATGTCTATAGAATTGGCTTCCTTTAGCTATCAAGAAGCTAATATTCCTTATTATTGAGTCACTTTCTTTCACATTTGTATCAAGTCTACAATATTTGATTAATTCCTTCGGGTTTGCTGATACCTTTTCTGTGTCTTTAATCATTTTGTTATCTGTAAAGTATTGTTTAAATGCTGCATTTGAATTGCAAAGGGTAAAATTAATTCTAGCACACTCTAGCCATCAGGATAGGCACACAGTAAGCAAGCAATGCCAAAACATTTATCTGATTACAGCTGATTAATTTGGTTGTGAACCTGCAGATAAGAATTTTTGTGAACTGATTTACTGCTTTACTCAGAGTTTCCTTGATTTATGATTGTGAATACCTGCTCCAGTATATAGTCAGTGTGGAAGTTGTATACATTAAAATTCTGTAACTTTAATCTTTGTGTTCCAAGATTAAAGTTATTCATCATTATTAAGTGAATGTATAATAAAAGCAAATGATTGAAAATATATATTAGCCATTCAGCTAAAATAATGTATATATAATATGTAATATATATAATCTAGTTGTTTTATCAGGGCACAGTATAATTTCTTTATTACCTCAATAGATTCAAATCCAATGCTGTATATAACTAATTCACCAGCAGTCATAATTTTTATTCTTTGAAGTAACAATTTCTTTCAGCTCATAATGAGCTGTAATATTTTTCAGTATTATAAATTATTAAGTGAAGATCAGCTAAGTATATTAACAACATTTTTGGTCACAACATTTTTTGGCTACAGGTACAGCTAAGTGTATTAACAATATTTTCTGTTTAGAATTAAAATTGTGTGTATTTACTTATTTCTAAGTAGTGTTTGTGAAGACTGTATTGAAGGATTGTTTTTTATTTTGAGTATAACCTATATCAACAACAGTTTCTGAAAAATTGCTAGTCTGTTCCCATGTTTATTAGACACAAGGATCTAGTTTCTATAGAGACAAGTGATCATGTGACTGATGGTTTGAGCAAGCTTCTGCATTTCAAATTTTGTGAATGGTTTGATTAGAAGTCACCAGTCACTGTAGCAAATTATTTTAATTGCACTGCTTTGGGTGACATAAAATGATTTTATAACATAACTTCAACAAGTTAATGGTTTCAAGATGGAGTTTATGAAGTCATAGGGTGAAATTTTGTCCCTTTTACCCTCACTTTGTCAGGATTAATTAGTAACTAGTATCACTAGATCAGTGAAGCAAATAAAGCCTAGCTTAAATTGAGGGATATCCTTGCACAATGCACGTGATAACATTTTATTAATGTTATTAGTGTTATTTCTGTACAGCTTTATATTCTGCATTTAAAAATTTTTCTAACTCTTGTCTAGTATTGCATTAATTACATTGAAAATTAGTTAATTTTTATTTAAATATCAAAATTCTCTTCCCTAAGAGGTAAGACAGAAGTCTTACCACAGTGGCGGTGGTGTTTCTCCTCTCCCTACTCTTCTATCATTTCTCTCCCTCTTTGCTGCTGAATCCACTTTTTCCTCCTTTTTTTTTTTTAAGAAGGAATTACACTATTGAGTTTTTCAGCAGTTTTTATATATAGTTTATGTTGGTTTATAAACCTTTCTATATTGGAAATATGAACTTATATTTATGTTTTTTTTTAATTATGATTCAAGGGTATAGATAAACATCTTGTGTTTGAGTTTTAGTTTTACCTTAGTAGTTTCTCTAAAATTCAATTTAGAATAAACAATTTGCTTTTACTCTAAAAAATGAGGAAGAATGTAATGACTTGCTTCTGACCATGCATTGATACTGTGCTTTGAAATTATAAAGACCAGAGAGCAAAATCACTTTCACTAGACTCACCCTTCTCTTTGCTGCCTCCATGATATTGACACATTATTTTCATCCTTAAGCCCCAAATTCCTTTTTAATTACTATAAATATTCCTCCCTAAAGACCCTCTCTTAGTAAAGGATACCAATATTTCCATTAAAATATTGTTATAAAAATAATTAATGAGAGAATGTGTGATCCTTTCTAGCATGGCTTTCCCAGGTTCCCACTGTCACACTGCGGGCTGCCATCTTTCAGTCCGCTGTCCACTGGTCTGTTGATCCTGGAAAGCAATTCAAGTGTGTTGGACTTTTATCTCTATGGGTGAATGATTTACTTCCCTATCCTTGCATTTGTGAAACAATGTTTCATTGTTCACACACTGTATTTATAGTGTGGGAGGATCTGACTTGATGGGGAAAAACTCATAGTTTGTTAGTCAAAATTGTATAGCCATTTATGATATGCAAGTGACTTTGAAGATATAGCTATACAGTTGTTTTATTTGTCTGTCCTTTCCATAGACCACATTTTTTTTTTGTCCAAGTGTTTCAGATTTCTCTCTTCATATACCTCAATCCAGCAGGCTACTCTGATTCTACTGAGCCAGATAGTTTTCTTAGAAGAAGACATTGTTGTAACAATGACTTCAAAATCAGATAATAACAAATGAGTCTAGCTAATGCATGCACATACCACTAATCAGCTAAGAATTATCTCCCTGTTTCCCATTTGCCTTGTTATACCTGGTGACAGATACACAGGACTTGTAACATGGACTTAGATCTATATTTTAAACTTGTAAGTATTTCTTGTTAAATAGAATTTTTTTAAAAAATACTAGGTCTTAATAAGATAGTAGAATACATTATTGAACAAAAACATCTTAAATATACATAAAACTGATAAATATTTGCCAGATGATATCATAGTAATTTAAATTATGTTAAACATCCCATTTGATTCTTTATATAGATTAAATGTCTAAATAATATTAGGTAATACTTAAGAAATGTAAATACTTAGAAAAGTAAAGTAATTTCTTTGAAAGTAATTAACAGTATAATTTAAATTGCAAATAAAATAGATGGTTTTAGCAAGAAAAAAGAATATTTTGTATTCTAGTAGTGACCAAGATTTTCCATTCTTACATGTTGACTGACAGAGGTGATTTTTTTTTTTCATTTTAAATGTTATTTGTTTCTGAAATCACACTGTTGAAGAAACTTACACTAACGTATTGTAATCCATACCAATGGGCATGGTCTCTAGGTGAACAATCTTGTAAAAACTTATTCTGATGTATTTATGCTTATACACCATTAAGAGTATTTCATGTAGAAAGAAACCTATTTATTGTAATTTTTGGAGATAAAGATAAATCATGAAAATTTTAGCAATGGCATACTGTGCAATAAAATAAGAAAAGTGATAACTCTTCTGCTTTTTTGGCCTTTCCTAGATGTATTGAGCAAAAATTTAAGCGCTGCCCTCCCCTGCCTACCACCAGTGTCATTATCGTTTTTCACAATGAAGCATGGTCCACCCTGCTTAGAACTGTCCACAGCGTACTCTATTCTTCACCTGCAATACTGCTGAAGGAAATCATTTTGGTGGATGATGCTAGTGTAGATGGTAAGAAAGCACATGCCTTGTCAGATTTTGAATAGTTTGGATGCAACTGGGTATGGTGGCACATTCCTGTCATCCCAGCGTTGAGGAAGATGTGGAGACAGGATGATCATCAAATGGGAGTATCGCCTCAGATACATAGCAAGATGCTGTCTTGCTAGAAATAGTATGGTTGATATATAATGAGCGAAAGTAAAATCCAAAGATATCCATATGCAAATGTTTTGTACCATAAAAAGCTATGAAATGCCATTGCTTATAACTCTGCAGTTCTCACTTCTTATTCTGAGACACAGTGGTTAACAGCCTGGCTTCCAGCCTGGAGACAAGCTGCCTTAGCTTGAATCCTGGTCAAGAATTTGGTCAAGTTGTTCTTTTTTTTAAAATTTATTTTTATTGTAAAGATACTGTACAGAGGGGTTACAGTTACATGAGCAAGGTAATAATGAGTCCGTTTCCTATTGAGCATTGTTACACCCTCCTTTGTTTTCCCCCTATCATCCCTTTCCTCCCCTGGTCAAGTTCTTTTGCCTCTTTGTCTTGTAAGCTGTATTGGTAAAATGGAGGATAATTTAACATTTAATCAAATCTATTTTAAGATATATCATTATTTTATCAATCACTATAAGAACATCCCACAAGCAATTAAACCAATGTGTCATTGATTATTAAAAAACATCCAATTGTATAGCTCAGAATTGAGCAAATATTGAAATAGTACACAACTCGCAGGGTGGCTTAGAACAACCAATGACCTAAGATAAATGACATCAATTTCTTACTAAATCATGTAGATAACTAGTGAAGATCAGAAAAGAATCCCTATGTTGTTTTATTTTGACTTTGATTTTTTTTTTCTTTTTATTGCCATGCTAAGGATTGAGCCTAGGGCCTTGTGCATGCTAGGCAAGCATCATATCACTATTGTATTAATGTACCATGATGGACACAAAAATATTGTACTAATATTTTTTAAACATTCCAGCATTGTTTTCAAAATTAGCAGAATTCCTTAATGCATTTAAGCTTAAAAGTCTATACCAGATACCAAGTTGTACCTTTTAAACTTGAATCATAAGGCTACTCTACAAGTACTCTAATTTTCTAAGTTACAGGTACCAAACAGATGACCTTCAATCATTACAGAATATATTCCCAAATGAATGAACGCAAAATTGGAACCAGATTGCCCAAAGCCCGATCACAGCCCCAGCACTGATTAGCTATCGCTTCATAAATAAAATGGAAAGAACATCTTTTGACCAAATCCAAAGCAATATTTGTTGTTGTATACAGTATTCCCTTATGTATATGAGCAAGAGGAAGCATGCCTGTTAGGTGATCATCCACCCATTGTAGGATGTATCTAGATTCTAGACACAGTAATAATGTAAAATGAAGATTTTAACCTGATATATGTGATATTGGTACATAAGAGTAAAAATATTTCCATGGTTTCACAGATATTCTGAGTAAAGTGAACATGGGTTCTCAAGATCAAGAAACAGTCAGGTAGAATAAAGTTGCTTAACTCCATAGGTTTTTGACCTGAATATAAAGTGAGAAAATTTTATAACTTAAGTCTTCTGGATTCAGGTCATATGTGATAAGCAGATAGCCCTGGAGGACCTCTCTAATTCCATCACTGGGGATGCTGGGCTACCTCAACAAGAAAAGGTCACAGACTATAGATCCCTGATTTACATCTGTAATACACCTATGCAGGGTATTTCCATTTAATTGTAATTAGCCAATTTACTGTTAATGTGCCCTAGTTTGTTCTTATTCTTTCTATCTAGTTGGACGCACTTGGATTTTAAGGGATGTCTGGCTAAGTTCTACACTCCATTATGTGTTTTACCTTAACAACAACAACAAACTACTGTACCTCACAGATCTTTTCTTCTTTCATTTTGAATGCTTTCTCTCAGAAGGATTTTTATGTGGTTTGGTCTTCTAAGTAGGAAAGATAATAGGGGAGATAATAGGGACATGGTAAATGTATTCCCAGATGGCCTTCAGTTGATGATGCGATTTTTATTTATAAGAACACAAACAAAATTAAAGAACTAAAGGAAGCTGGTGCCAGTAACTCATGCTTGTAATCCTAGATACTCAGGAGGCTGAGATCTGAGGATTGCAGTTTGAAAACAGCTTGGACAGGAAAGACAGTGACTTTTTCTTTCTTTACAAAAGTTTTATCAAGACAAACATAGATACTTTGGGCATATATGTACAATACACATGAAATTTATATGTGGTCATATATAGATTATGACATTTTAAAAGTTTGGTTGTTTTTTTTTTTTCAATATCTTTGTCAGTGAAACTTAATGTGTGCATTGGTCTTAGGGCTTGAAGTCTGGGCCTGAGCACTTACCCTGAGCTGATATTGCCCAAGGCTAGTGTTCTACCACTTGAGCAGCAGCCTTTTTTGGTTAATTGGAGAAAAGAGTCACATGGACTTTCCTGCCCAGGCTGGCTTTGAACCATGATCCTCAGTCTAAGCCTCTTGAGCTAGATTTACAGGCACCAGCCACCAGTGCTGGGCAAAAAGTGAAAGTGGAGCTGTGTCTCAAGTGTTAGACTACTAGCCTTCAGCTCAAGGACAGCATTCTGAACCACCAGTGGATACAGCACACACACACACACACACACACACACACACACACACACACACACACACGAATCAATGAAAATCAGAATGGAAAGAGGTACTTATTCACATATTCACAATCTTCCTGTTTAACCATTTTTATTTTGTTCATTTCCTTCCATAACCACTGTTCAAATACGTTTAATTATGTCAAAGACATCCCATTTTAAATACTGACCTTTACACATCTTACTGTTATTAGTCCATGTATTATACTGTCAAAGACAGACAGACAGGTACAAAGAGAGAGGGAGCTGGGAGGGAGAGTATGTGTGTGGGTGTGTGTTAGTATCAGGGCTTGAACTCTGGGCTTGGGCACTGTCCCTTTAGAATTTTTTGCTCAAGGCTAGTGCTCTTATCACTTGAGCCAAAGCTCTACTTCTGGCTTTTCCGTGGTTAATTGAGGATAAGAATCTCTTGGACTTTTCTGTTCTGGTTGACCTCAAATCTTGCTCCTCAGATCTCAGATTCCTAAGTACCTAGGATTATAGAAGTGAGCCACTGGCACCTGCTCAAAGCATTATTTTTTTTTTTGGGTGGGGGGGGGGGGGTCCGGTCATGGGGCCTGAACTCTGGGCCTGGGTGCTATCCTTCAGCTCTTCAGTTCAAGGCTAGCACTCTACCACTTGAGCCACAGCGCCACTTCCGGCTTTTTTCTTTTTGCTTATGTGGTACTGAGGAATCGAACCCAGGGCCTCAGGCATGCAAGGCAAATGCTCTACCACTGAGCCACCTTCCCAGCCCCTCAAAGCATTATTTTTAATGATGGATTAGACACCTTTTACTTAAACATTTATCTTGTACTTAAATCACATATTTTCAATAGCAAAAGAGCATTAGAACTTCTCTAAGGATGTGAGTATTTTCTTCTAACTCTTTACATCACTTGACAGTAAACTTAGAGCCTTCAGTTTTCTTTTGTGACAGATTCTCACATTTTAGCCCAAGCTGGCCTTTGACTGGTTCTCCTCCAGTTTCAAATGTCCACATATTGGAATTGCCTGGCCATTGGAGCTGTTTTCTTAATGAAAGCCGTCCTTTCATACTGTTGTAATCTACTGAATTGAATCCATTGAAGAGCTATCCAGGGAGTAGCCACAGTGCTCTTGCTATAAAGGAAACTGAGGTAGATGTAATCCCCAACTCCAATCTGTTTAGGGATAATGCAGCTTAAGTAGGTAGTCATATTTCTACAAAACGGTTACAACCTGGTGTTAGTATTCTTGCACAACAGTGTTTTACTATCTCCATCTTACAGATAAGAAGAGCAGCACAGGTAAGCACCTGGCTGAAGTAACACTAACAATAGTGTTGCATCAATGGAGCCCTGTATATCCCATCTCCTGTGGCTTTGTGTGCTTCCAAAAAAACAGTGGAAATGGAAACAAATTTGGAGGGAAGACAAGAATGTGTAGCCTATATCAAACGTTTTATGTAAAACATGTTTTAATAAATTAAAGCAATGAGAAGGGGTATTGACAAAGTAACTTCATTTTTTAAAAAATCCAGTAAGACTTTTAAAACTTTACATCTTAAAGCAGAAGATTTTGCGATTATCTATTGAATGATAATATTGCATGTCTTTAAGAGAACCATTTCTGATGTACTTAGAAGAGTCTGAAAAGTTAAGAGTACTTCTCAGAGACAATAGTTTTCAGACAGATTTATTTTTCAGTACAGTTTGTTCCTGGCACCTTATCTCCTCTATGAGTGCTTTAAATAATTAATTCTTCAGTGTGAATTACTGGTGAACAAATCAAAACAAACAAACCCACCCACACAATGCCAGATAGAGCCACAACTCAGCTCCTCTTGGTTCTGAAATGTGATAGAAGCAATCTACTGCAGGGCCTTACTAATTTTCTCCATATTTCCAAATTTACTTGAGGCTCTGGGCTCAAGAAAGTCACTTAAATTTCACCTATATACTCAGCAAGAATTGGAGAATTCAACAGTGACTGTGGATGATGGTACACATCTGTAATCCCAGCACTCGGCATGTTACAGCAGTAGGATGGCAAGTTGTCAAAGCCAGCCTGGGATACTTCATGGTGACCAGGACAGCCAGGGCTACACAGCAAGACCATGTTTGTTTAAAACAGAAAAAAGCAAGACATAGACTTAAGAAATTGTTTTAAAATATGAATAGAACCTTATTTTATAAACGGGTTTTTCTTTTTATTTCCACCTCAATTTTTGTTTATTATGCAGCTAATCCAAATTAGAATGTTATATATATGAAAGCATATACCCATTGCTACGGTTTTAGTTATTTTAACCTCCTGATTCACATGCTTTCTTTTGCTTCCATATTTTTAGTGGACATAAGTCTGTCTGTAGACTCCAAAGTATTAAGCAATTTTCTGTTGACATTGTAACAATGGACCCAAAGTGCTTTCTTTGTACCTTTCCTACTTGCCTTTTTCTTGACATTTTGGTCTTAAGTTATCTTGACCACTACGTAAATATCAGACAATCCTTTTGATGATAATTGGCATTTTGTCATTAGGATATCTAGTCTTAAACACCATCTTGAAAATTGTTGAATAGCTATGTGGGCCAGATTCCATTTCTTTTACTCCCATAGTACACAGACCTGACAAGATATTTTCTTAACGCCTGGGTTCCTCTCTACTTCAATCTCTCACTCCCAAACACATACGTTTATTGACAGGAAGCACCTAAGATTAGTGTGTGTTATAATGTTTATGTGTTGTAGCAATTACAACTTGGATATGTCGACCTTTTCCCCATAATGATTTAAAATAAGCATTTTCATATCACTGTGGGAAAATATGTTAACCACTGAACACTTTGGAGGGGTCACACATTGTATGGTTTCATTGACTCCTATGAATCAAGATAAGTTTAGAAAGAGTTAATCCTGATTTTCTTTCCTTACAGAGTACTTACATGAAAAACTTGAGGAATATATAAAACAATTTGCCATAGTCAAAATAGTCAGACAAAAAGAAAGGAAAGGTCTGATCACTGCACGGTTGCTAGGAGCAGCGGTAGCAACAGCTGAAACGCTCACATTCTTAGATGCCCACTGTAAGTATGCAACCGTAAGTAGTCTAATGTTCCCTCCCTACCCCCTTAATTTAAAATTGATCCATCGTCCATTTTAAAGGAAAAAACGTCACCTGAACTTTAGAATTGCTTCACTTCTTCTTGGAGCAGAGTTTATCTTCATAGAAAATTTTTTCCTAACTCTGCTTAATCTTGCTTTATCTTTTATTGTTATTACTTTAAGTAGTTGTACAAAGAAGTTACCATTCAACAAAGCAGTTTATCAGTACAATACTTCTTGATCAGTGCATCCCCTTTGAACATTCTTGCTTTAGTTTTTGAAACTACACTTGTCACAAGGAACCTTGAGGAAATCCTCCCTTTTCAAGTTCCATTGTACAACATTGCAACTGTGGTTAATAATTTATAACACACTTAAAAATTGCTAAGAGTAGATTTTAAATGTTCTTGCACATATGAAATGATATATATAGGAATGAACTTGATTGTGGGAAATCATTTCAGATGCATACATCTATCAGAACATTACAATGTATAGCATAATGATATAGAGAGATTTTTGCCTACCATAACTCAATAACATTAAAAAAATCACAGCTATATATCCATTCAACAGGAAACAAGTTAATTATCATTTTTCTGTGATCTGCTAGCTACCCGAGTAACTAAAAAGAGCTCTCAGTGCCCTAATGTATATATACACATATATTTTTTTCAGTGAATTAATGTAATTCTGGTTTTCACAGGCGAGTGTTTCTATGGTTGGTTAGAACCTTTGCTGGCCAGAATAGCTGAGAACTACACAGCCGTTGTGAGTCCAGATATTGCATCCATAGATCTGAACACATTTGAATTCAACAAGCCTTCTCCATATGGAAGTAACCACAATCGTGGGAACTTTGACTGGAGCCTTTCTTTTGGCTGGGAAGCGCTTCCTGATCACGAGAAGCACAGAAGGAAAGATGAAACCTACCCAATCAAGTAAGACAAATGGCTCTTAGTCTTAATTCATACCACAACATTGTATGCTGAATATGTGCGTGCTTTTTTTTTTTTTTTGCATTTTGTTTTTGCTGTGGTTCTCTCTTATGTAATTCTTACAGTGAAAACAAGGAGAACAAATACATATCCTAAAAAGAAAGAATAGGAAAGTAATTAGGCACCTGCATATGCTATGGTCGGCTATAGAGTAAAATTAGGTGGGCTCGTACATCTTCTTAAATCATTATTTGAGAATCCTAAGGCATGGTTAAAAATAATCTGAAAGAGGACACATGACTATTTATATACCCCCAAAGCTTGGCTTCAAAGATGACATTTTAAAGGTTTTTAAGTTAATCTTTAAAATTTTTAAGTTATGATATCTTGTTAGCATGGAGAGTTTATGTGTTTCTTTCAGCTATTTTACCTTGTATAGCTATTATAACCATTTTACAATGGATTATTTTTCAGAACTCCTACTTTTGCAGGAGGACTTTTTTCCATATCAAAAGAATATTTTGAACATATTGGAAGTTATGATGAAGAAATGGAAATCTGGGGAGGTGAAAACATAGAAATGTCATTCAGAGTAAGTTGTGGTGATAAATATAGCACACTTGTTAAACAGTGAATTGTAGTGTTCTAATTGGCTGGTATCGATCATTATAGATCTGTGGAGTTTTTTGGTACTGCCTAAAATTTAATTGCTGAAAATTTGGAAATAAGAATAGTTCCTTTCACATTGTAACTTGATGTATTTGTTCATCATTGGCAAAGTAACAGAAGGAATTAAACTCCTGTGTTCAGGCAGTAACACCAATTAATAGACTATAGCTACTGAATTCCAGCCAAGATAAATATCATTAAACCTGGTACTTCAGGAAATAAGTTGATTATCAAGGCAGTCCGTATGGAAAAAAATTTCAAAGGACATTGGACTTAACTGATTGGATGAAATGAGTGGTTCCAGTTTTTTTAATCTATAAATAATAAAAGCTATTATGTAAACAAAGGCTCTAGATAATTTCTATCCATTTTGTATTTCATGAGTTTATTTTTTTAAATACGTTTTTTTATTGTAAAAGTACTGTACAGAGGGGTTACAGTTACATGAGCAAGGTAATGAGTACATTTCTCAGCAAGCATTGTTGCCTCCTCCTTTGTTTTTCTCCTACCATCGCTTCCCTCCCACCTCCACAACTACACTCTCCCCGCTCCCTGCCTAAATTGTAAAGTTCATTTTTCAACATAGTGTCTTGTACATCTCATTGTTACAATGGGTCAACCTATATCCCTATTTAAGCATTTTGTTTTTTCCCTTCCCTTTCCCAAGCTAGAGATGTGTATGTACAAGATGCAGGGCACTGACATCAAATACAGTGAAAACGGGTTATACCATGGGGGAGGAACATACAAAGAAACAAAGAAATCACATGGTACATTATAAATATGTTAGAAACAATAGCAAGAGGGAAAAAACCACTTGTGTCCCTATCTTGGGGTTCATTTCACTTAACATCATCTTATCTGGTCATATATTTATCCCTTAGAGTTTTTATCCCTTACCATAAATTGTAGTAGAAAAAATAAACTAAGTTAGAAAATTTAAATTTTCAACTCTGGCTCCATTAAACTTGGACAACAATTATCTTAACCAGGTTTGAACTACTTAAGGGCAGGATCTTGATTTATTCACTTTAATAATACTTTGTTAAGTAGTAGTAGTAGTAGTAGCAGCAGCAGCAGTCGTTTGTTAAATAAAACATACCATTGAGATTTCTCATTTATTTAAAGAATAAAAAAGTTGATTGATCACTTATCTGAATACTAGCATATACTACTAATTATGACTTCCTTTCAGACTTTTGCTTAGTTATTATTTATGTCAGAATCACTTTTTAACACATTTAAGTAAGAAGGTATCAGTTCACAATTTAGCATTTTACTTACAATTAGATTGAATGAGTATTTAAACTTTCTAAACAGGCATGCATTTTTTTTAGTAATGATCAACAATTCAAACTTTTAATAGATTGTAGATTTGTAATAATGGCTATCTGGAATTTTTTTCTTATATACCAAGTTGAGCACAGAGAATCTAGGTTCACTTATATCTAGAATGCTTATATATTCCTTAAAAGAGAATCATATGGATTAAGTGAAGTGACCATGTAAGTTGCATAAAATGGAAGTAAATGAACAAGAGCCTTTGGTCCTCTCTGTATGGAAGATTTACATAGTTGTTTGCAAAAGAAAAAAATCTTGGAATTCATTTTTATGAAAGATCCAATATACTTTGTTAACTTACTTTCTACAGGTTTGCTCTAGATGAATGTTTATAACCTCAGAAGAAGTCATGCTTTAAGTCTATGGAACTGAAGTTGAACTGGCAGGGAACAAGGGACTCTTTATGAATACATTGATACAATAAATCTCTTCTTTGTATTTTGTTTGATTAATATCTTAAAGGTGAACTTAAAAGCAGCACTTTGATTTCCCACAAATACTGTAAATTTAAACAAATATCATTAATTGTCAGGTTTGGCAGTGTGGTGGGCAGTTGGAGATTATGCCTTGCTCTGTTGTTGGACATGTTTTTCGCAGCAAAAGCCCTCATACCTTTCCAAAAGGCACTCAGGTGATCGCTCGCAACCAAGTTCGCCTTGCAGAAGTCTGGATGGACGACTACAAGGAAATATTTTACAGGAGAAACACAGATGCAGCAAAAATTGTTAAACAAGTAAGTTAGAGCTAAATTATTAATTTACTATTAAAAGATGTACCAAGTTCACATCTCCTTATTCTTGAGTCACCTAAAATACAGAGCATTCAAATATTTACTTTTAAAGCAAAAGTTGCTGTTGTTTCTTAGTTCTTAAAATGTGTAACTTAATGGATGCCAGGTTTCTCCCTTGAGAGGAAAAATTAACTAAACAGTCTTTTAAGCATTCAGGCTTTCCATTTGATCTTGTCCCTTTCCATATGAAAGATACTTTGTATGACTGCTTTAAAAAAAATTTCTTTTTACTCAAGATAAAATGAAGTAGAACTGCTCATACACACACACACACACACACACACACACACACACACACACACATCTTACTATCTTTAAGTAGTTACATGAAGGAGTTGCCAATTAACAAAGCAGTTAATGAGTATAATGCATCTTGATCAATGTCACATTCTCATCCATTCTTCCCCATCCCCCTAATTTTGTAAGATATACGTGAAATTCTTTTTTTATTAATAAGTTTTTTAATTGTGAAAAATACCATACAGAGGGGTTACAATTCCATGAGCAAGGTAATGAGTACATTTCTTATCAAGCATTGCTGCCTCCTCCTTTGTTTCCCCTTCCCATCCCTGCCCTACCATCTCCCCTCTGCACCCCCCTCCACCAAAGTTGTAAGCACCCCCCTCCACCAAAGTTGTAAGTTTGTTTTTCGACATAACGTCTTATACATCTCATTGTTGCAATGGGTCCACCTGGATCCCTATTTAAACAATTTATTTTTTCCCTTCCCCTCCCAAAATTATACTAACATCAAATACTGTGAAAACAGGGGTTATACTATGGGGGAGGGACGTACAAAGCAACAAAGAAATCATCTTATAAATATTACACGCGGGGCTGGGAAGGTGGCTCAGTGGTAGAGCGCTTGCCTTGCATGTCTGAGGCCCTGGGTTCGGTTCCTCAGCACTCCATATGCAAAAAGAAAAAAGCCGGAAGTGGTGCTGTAGCTCAAGTGGTAGAGCGGTAGCCTTGAGCTGAAGAGCTGAGGGACAGCGCCCGGCCCAGAGTTCAGGCCCCATGACCGGACCCCCCCCGCAAAAAATAATAATACATGCAATTCTTGATTGCTTTCTTCCCTTCTCTTCATTTGTTTGCTGCTTTCCCCTTGACCCCACCCCACTCCTTTCAAATATCTGTTTCCTGGTTTTTTATTAACTTTGTCTTGCTAAAGAATTATGCTATTTGGAGGGTAGGAAATGTACTCATTACCTTGCTCATATAACTGTAACCCCTCTGTACAGCATTTTTATAACAAAAAAAATACAAAAAAAGGAATTATGCTATTTGAGTTTGCCCTTGAATCTACCTTATTCCAGTTCATATATTTATATATACATACATACCACCTAATGTATTTACTTACAAGTTTATAAGCTAAATCTAGCTTCCACATATAAGGAAATACATCTGTTGTCTTTCTGAGCCTGACTTACTTCATTTAATATAATTTTTCCCAGGCCTTTCCATTTCTCTAAAAATGTGCAATATCATTCTTTCCAATGGATGAGTAAAGTTCCATTGTGTATATATACCACATTCTCTTGATCAAGCAATCAGAGCCTGTCACCAATCAGAACACATCAACACTTTTATCTCAGAAATAACTGCTTTTTTTTTCAATGTAGGTTCCAAGTAGCTTTTTGAACTGGATGTAGAGACAAGGACTTGATGTGCATGAGAATGAGCCAGAAGTATTAACATTTCCTTCCCTTTCTTTTGCTTTTTTCCCTTTCTTTTCATTTCCTTTTTCTTTCTTTTCTCTAAGTCCTAGTTCCACTAATCATTGGAGATACTGCTTTGGCAAAGCCCCTTTAGGAATAAAATTGGACAACACTATCTTTGTACAATAGCTACCAGGTAGCTGGGTGTGGAGTATGCTGTACGTGGCTTTCCTTTCTTCCTCTCTGCCTTGAGAAGAATATGTCCTATCTCTCTCTGGAATAGCTGTAAAGTGAGGAAGTAATAAGTGTTAACAAAAACATGATGTTACTACTAACCTCTCCTAGATAGCCTCTACACCTTTACACCATATTATCCTGACAATGTATTACAAGTGAGTTGTGTTGTATGTGGAAAACTAACAAAATAACAGCTTAAGAATGGGTTTCACAAAGGCACAATGCATATGTGCCTCATTTGTATAAAATTATATGTATGTGTGTGAACTCTAAGATATAGAAACAAGAGATCTCTTTTTATTATTATTGTTTCAGTTTTCTGTCTGTATTTGGCAGGTGTAGGGTACAGAACTTGAGGGGGAAAAAGGTGAAAAAGTGCATCACTGCATAGTGTTTAAATTGTACTATGCAACTCTTTGGTGGAGATGGGAAGGAGGGACTGGGAGAGAATAAGGGAAGGGAAGATAGCATATAAAAGGAAATGTACTCATCATCTGACTCATGTAACTGTAATCCCTCAGTACATCTCCTTTATAATAACAATAAATAAAATGAAATAAAATAAAAAAGAATGGGATTCATTTAATGTGGCCAAGTTATTTACAAAAAATAAATAATGCTAATTCAGGCGGGTAGGAAGGAATGATACTGGCAGTCCAGCGCACCAGCATTTTGACTTGCACAGTGAAGACATATCTGCTTACCGATCTCCATATTTTCTTTGGTCTTTAGTGTCTTCCTGTGATATGTCAGTAAGATACAAATAGAAAGCATTACTTTGGGTAGATTACTATCTGTGTGCCCAAAACCACTAAGACAATTTGGGCAGATATGGTACTGCACAAGAGCACTTGGCAAGACAGGCAAGAATGTTCTAAATGGACCTACCACTCTGTTTGTGACCCACAGAGACAAGTGATCCATCCAGCCAGTCTTGGTTCTTACCATAGGGCACAGTGCACTTAAAAATGCATTATATGACCAGAAATCCTTAAGAGTCATTCAAACAAACAAACAAACAAACCTGAGCTGAAAGCATTGAAGCTGACATAAAAAATATTTTCCTTGGTTGAACTTACAAGTTTTTTTTTCATACATTTACCTATCAAATATAATTTGTCCCTAAAAGTTTACCTGTAAACAAAGCATCTTTCTAGTTTAATCATTTAAGAATCATTTACCTTGCCCTTTAAAATAAAAGAAAATAAAATGCAATTCACTCAAGATTTCCTCTTTCTACTCAAGATGTAGTTGGGAATCTTGTTACAAGGAAGTTTCTAAATTGCAAAAGAATTATTCTTAACTGTGCTGGGATTTTTTCTTCTGTTTTTTTTTTGGGGGGGGGGGTCCGGTTGTGGAGCCTAAACTCTGGGCCTGGGCACTGTACCTCAGCTCTTCAGCTCAAGGCTAGTGCTCTACCACTTGAGCCATAGTGCCACTTCCAGCTTTTTTCTTTTTGCTTATGTGGTGCTGGGGAATTGAACCCAGGGCCTCATGCATGCAAGGCAAGTGCTCTACCACTGAGCCACCTTTCCAGCCCCTTTTCTTCTGTTTTTGACAGTACTGAAGTTTAAAGTCAGGGCCTTCTGCTTACTATACTGATGCTGTATTATTTGAGCAATGTCCCTAGTCATTATTTGGTCATTTTTTCAGTCTTGCATTTTTTTGCCCAGGTGGCCTCACACTCTGATCCTCCATAATTGGGATGCCAGGTGCATACCATCTCATCCTGCTTGTTAATTGAGGTGATATGTCTTTTAACTTTATTTCCAGGCTCTCCTTAAACCAATTCTCCCAGTCTCCAGTCTCCACCTCCCAAGTACTTTGGGTTACAGATTTGAATTACCATGTCAGCTGTGCAGACTTGGAGTGGTTGGTTTTGCAGTCTAGACTAAGAAGAAACATAAATTGCAAAGTTGTTGGCAATTTCAGACTACCTTAAAGTACAAAGTGAAGATTCATTCTGTGTTCACAGGTTTCTATAGGGAGCTTTGTCCTGTGGGAAAAGTGTTGTGGCACAAATAACAAATAAAATAATATCTGTTCAGCACTACAGTGTTACTTGATTCTCTGAACCCAGAAATGAACAGGCATTTCTGAATGGGTGGTTGATAGAGCTGAACTGCATCGTGCATTTTGACCTAGAATTTATTTTTCAAGATCCAAATACAAGTATTAGTCTTTGAACTATTTTCTGTTTTGATTAAGGATCCCTTCCTTTCTCATCTTCCTCTAGAAATCATTTGGTGACCTTTCAAAAAGGTTTGAAATAAAAAAGCGCCTTCAATGTAAAAACTTTACGTGGTATCTGCACACTGTTTACCCAGAAGTGTATGTGCCAGACCTGAATCCTGTTATTTCTGGATTTGTGAGTATTTCCTGTTCCTTTTCTTCACTTGATATATGCCTTGCCACCAACATTTTGTGTGGTTCAGGAAAAATTGCTGGAATATTTTTTGCTTTGTTGCTTTTGAGATTTTTACATTACTAGTCTTAACATTTATTACTTTACTGGTATTAATTGAATATAAACTACATAGTTTAAAATGGTTTCATAATTGGACTTTTAATGTAGATAAAAAGTGTTGGTCAGCCTCTCTGTCTGGATGTTGGAGAAAACAATCAAGGAGGTAAACCACTGATTTTGTACACGTGCCATGGACTTGGGGGAAACCAGGTGAGTGTGCACACTACATAGAAACCCTCCCTTCTCCTTAGCAGGTGACTGACACAAGTAAAATAGTGCATGTTTCCCTGAAGCCCCAACTCAGCTCTATGCCCAGCTATTCTGGTATGTGAATCATGTTTACACAGAGCTTGGCAATCACCGTCCAAGTTGTAAGGTTTATATTCTGGCTCTAAAAATAATGCTGCTTACCCATTCAATAGAAAGGAAAATGAGACAACTTTCAAAAAGGATCTCTTCTGTATTTCATGGATGTTCGCATGTTACTATTGGTATGGTAACTTTATAAGATTATATCTGAGGACCGTATTGAATTGAATTTAATAGCAAATTGCATCTCCTGTTAACACAAACAGAGCTGCCATTTTTACTTCCTTTTGTGGGCCAAGATATTACATAAGTATTCTTCCTGTCCCCCAACAGTATATGTTCTTGATTCTTCACTGGTGGTGTCTGACTTGTGGACACTATTTTACCAGTTAAGCCCCAAATGCCCAATGTTATTATCTAGCCCAATCTGGGTGGACAATGTAATCAATATTACGTTTCAGGGTATTCCCTTCCTTTCCTTCCATTCACAAGATAAAAATAGTAATACTGATTATAAAGAAAAACAAAGCATATCAGGATATGCTATTAGTGGTTGGGGGTAAGGGATTATTTTCCAAGATTCAAGAGGACATTTCTTAGAGTAGAGGTCTAAATGAGAGAGGGGGAGCAGTACTCCCGGAAAAGAATATCTTAAGTGGCTGGGTGGGGGAGAGGGGAGGGAAGGGCAGGGGCGGGGAAATCTAACCAGGTGCCTAGGGACAGATTCATGCAGACCAGAAAGCCAGGGTGGTCCAGGAAGAGTGGTCAGGCAAGGAGGGGTAGGAAATGAGTCACAGACTGTGATAAGGGACCTAGTCATAGAGGGCTTTGCAGGCCTCATTAAGGTACTTGGATTTAATTCTGAGTTTGACAGAAGCCATCTGAAGATTTTGATCAGGAGAATAATGTAGTCTGGTTTATATTTGAAACTGAATCTGGCTTCTGTCACCTTAACATGCCATTTTGGTTTATATCCTTTAAATTTTCAAACAAATGCCACATTTCAACTTCTTTGTAAATTTTAATTCCTTGAGTGCCAAAATGTTGAGGTTGCATGTAATTTGAACATTTTCTCATGCTCTCTTCTGTTTTGATCATGAAACTATAATTTCATAGCATGTAACTCAATTATAGCAGTTTTGTGTTTGCAAAATAACAATTATTTGGGTTATGTGGTTAAATTGGATGATATTCTGATACAATAATCCTTAAGCCATTCTAACAATGCTTAGCTTCTTTTACTCTCTGCCAAGGTATTTGTCCTGGTTTTGAGTTACAGTTGGTCCAGCATTCTGCTGACCTGGATTATTACAAAAAATCTGTTCCTAAAATGTTTTCAGCTATTTTCCATTTCTTCTAAGGTCCATTTTAATGACTTTTTATTAGCACACATTAATAATTCAAGACAGTTTCATTGTGATCATTCCATAGAAATATAATTCTGTACTTTGAAGAAATTCACTCCTCTATTATAATCCCTCCTCAAATTTTTCCCTTTTTTGACAGTGTTTAATGAGCTTTATTACACTATATTTATGTATGTGTGTATGTGTATATATATATATATGTATATATACATCTATACTCATACATATACTATATATATCCCATATGCTACACATTCATGCATACTCTATACATGTATATATGTATAACTTCAATCTTCAAATTCCCCCTGAGGATCCTCTGTTTCCCCCTTCTACTAATCTCCTTCAAACAGTTTTCTTCTTAAACTCATGATTCATCATCATCATCATTGTTGTTATCATCATCATCATCACCACCATCATTTTTAATCTATATTCCACACGGAAGAGGTAACATTTGATATGTCACTTTTTGATATTGGTTTATCTTGCTCAAAGTGAAAATCTACAGTTCCATCCATTTTTCTGCAAATGATATCATTTCATTATCCTTTATAGATAAATTAGTACACATATATAATTTTCTTTATTCATGAATTGATTGTTGAGCACCAGGCTGATTACACAGCTTGGTTATTGTGAGCAAAGCTGCTATACTAATTTACTTTCCTTCAGATAGGGTCATAAGGCAGGTCTATTTTTAAGTCTTGACAGAACCTCCTTACCGATTCCTTAGTGGTTGCACCATTTTACATTTCCAGGGAGTATATCAAGGTTTCTTTTCCCCACATCCTCTCCAGCATTTGTTATTTGTTTTCTTGATGATTGTTATTCTGACTGGGGTGAGATAGAATCTCAGCATTAATTTTGGTTTGTATTTATTTTGTGAGTAAGGATGTTGAATATTTCTCTATGTAATTATTAGCTATTTGCACTTCTGAGAACTAGCTGAGCTATGTATTTGTCTCTTTATTAATTGTATTCTTTACTTTCTTAATGTTCAATTTTCCAAGCTCTTTGTATATGCTGGATATCATCCTTTATTCTGTCAGTGGAAATTGGCTTCCACTCCATGGGTTATCCCTTCACTCTGGTTTTCTTTGATATGCAGCTTTTAATCTGATGTAATCCCATTGGTCAATTCTTGATATTATCTTGGGCAATTAGAGTTCTCCTCAAAAAGTAATTGCCTATACCTAGAACTTGAGATTTTTATCTCAAGATTTATCTGCCTGGGCGGTCTCTGAATTGAGATCCTCAGATCTCAGCCTTTTAAGTGGCTAGGATTATAGACATGAGCCATTGTATTATTTGGCTAAAATAAATATGTTTATTTCTCAATGAGTGGTTGACTTATTTTGTAACGGAATATACAGGTGCTTTTGTCATTAACAACCTTCTTTTTTCTGTAGTACTTTGAATACTCTGCTCACCGTGAAATCCGGCATAATATCCAGAAAGAATTGTGTCTTCATGCTGCTCCAGGCCCTCTCCAGCTGAAGCCATGTGCCTATAAGGGTCAAAAGACAATTGTTGCTGAAGAACAGATATGGGACATCCAGAAGGTAACTAAATGCAGTTAATTTACTCAAAATGCTTAACTGAAAAAAAAAATACATGAAATATAGTATTTCAGTATGTTCCACCAGGATTTCTCTGCCTTTATTATTAAGTTTATTAATATATAAATATATATATATATATCACCAACATAAAAGGAGACTTTATGATTTAAGTACCTCTAGGAATCATATAATCATATTTACTTCTTTAGAGCCCATTTATGCAGCTCAAGTAAGTCTATGAATTATTAGTAATAATTGCTCTTTTTAAACTATGCAGGGGTTTTTACATTGCTTTTATATGACTCTTGCAAAAAAAAAGTCATATTTTTCTTCTTGCAGAGGGAAGAAAGTGTATGTTTTTGCATAGTCATTAATTCTTCTTCCTCTATTTTGTTTTTTTCCCATGAAACTAAAGTTGAGAAAATACATGACAGATCACTTGTGTGTGTATGTGTAAAAACAATAATATATGTTTTATTATATATATATAGTATATGGTAGGTTATATGTATAATGTGTAATGTTTTATAATATATAAACATTATATGTAATGCTTTTATTATCTTTAAGAAGTTGTACAAAGAATTTCAATTCAGTATGTCATTTTGTGAGTACATTTTGGTCAGTATCACCCCTTCCTTCATTTTCCTACATCTGTTTCACCCCCACCCATACTGGCAATTATTTGGTTCCATTTTCACATATGTATGTTTAATATCATGATGATATCCATCTGTCCTTCCTCTGTCTATTTGTCTGATCTCTTCCCTTGTGACCTCTCCACTTCCTGGCAACATGTTTCAGCTAATCACTTGGTTTTAAGCAAATGTTTTAAGGTTTAATCAGTTCTTCCCTATAAATTGTTTTGTGAAATACTGAAATATTGTAAGACTAGCCTGTATGATTTATGATTATTTTTAAAGAGATTGTTAAATATGTTAAGGGAATGTTTCTTGCTTGAGAACTTTGATTGATCTTACTCTATATATCTCTTTTTTTGTCTAATTCTTTATGTAATTGAACAGTAGTCATGTAAATGATGGTGTTTACTGACATTTTACCCAATGTATTAGGTCTTAAGAAGATTAAAAGATAAAAATACTTGTTATGCATGTTTCTCTTTTGCTTCAATGAGATTGTAAGGTCCTTTTCCATACATATTTGTTAACCAAGAGTCCTGAAGCTTACTGTTTGCCTTCTTTTATTCTAGGATCAACTTCTGTATAATCCATCCTTAAAACTGTGCCTTTCAGCAACTGGAGAACATCCCAACTTGGTGTCATGCAATCCTTCAGACCTACTCCAAAAATGGATTTTTAGCCAAAATGATTAAGTGTTTCTTAAAATTAAGGAGTTTGAAAATGAGATATTGTTTCTCATAAAACTGTGACTAAGCATACACTGTACTTTCCAAAATTATGCAAAAGCAGCTAATTGTAACTTATTCCAAGTGCATTTTTCTTATTTATATCTAAAAATGTCTATGTAGCACTATGTGGCACTGCTGCAAAAATCATAGACATTTCTGTCTTGAAGCACAATAACTAGTGTACCAAAGATGATTCCAAAATGTCCAGATGTAAGAGAAGAAATGTTTACAGAGTGATGAAAATAATTTCCCTAGTAAGGTGATACCTGTGTTTTTTATAATGCAATTGATATACATAGCTACATTTACATGCTCATAATTTAAAATATCTTCCCTAGGTTGGGGGGTAAGGGGAAAGGGAGGAGAAAGATTTGATACTGTATTTTTTTAACGACATAGAAGTGTATCAATAATGGTCATACATTGGCCTTTGTGCACAAACCAGGAAATTTTTATAGACTTAGAATTTATTATTTTTAAATGCAGGTAAACTTCTTCTTTGTCTTCTGTTTACTTGTCTGTCAAATTTTTCTTGAAGCATGAAGTTGAAGAAGAAGAAGAGGAGTATTTTTAACACTTAAATTTATTGACAAATTTTAAAATACTTTTTCATCTGAAACCCACTTCACTAGATGCCCTTCAGTCTTCCCTGAATGGCTTTTTCTAAGTGACTATCCTGTGTGTTTTCCCAGAGTGATTAAAAAGAAACGATTTATAAATTATTATCTATTAATAAGGGGTCCTTTTCTTTCCTAATAGTCTTTTTTTCTTACCAAAATTCACTAATCTTGAGTGTTTGTGATATTGAATTTACAAATGCAGAATACTTGACTCGATTCTAAATTTTATTTGTTACTGATTATCTTTGTCATGGATTTTTTCTCATCAAAAAGGCCTTATTTTTACATTTGTGGAAAACACAATAAAAGAATCCTAAACAACTTGTAACTGCTTGTTTAAATTTTCTTCCTGTTTAGGATAAACTCTGTAATTGAATGTAGTTGGGGAAACATGTATTTCATGTACTGGCTTACTAATCACTTACACGTAGAGCCATAGATTCTTGAACAAATTTCTGATAACTTTCCTTAAGTATCTGATAGAGGTTACTTTTTTAAATCATATTTTGTTAGGAGGCTTACCAATTTTTTCTTTTTGGTCCTTTTATATATAAATGCCTTGTGTAATTATTCCAGAAATAAAATAAAATGGACTTCATTATTTTAAACTTGAATTCTAAATTGTACAAAGAAAGCAGTTTTGATTATTGCCTCCATCTAATTGTATATGACTTTAAAATTTGATTAAGAATCCCGCATTCCCAACTGATTACTTTGCCAACATTTGTTTACATTCAACTAACATTTATTTTGTGTCTGACTTTGTATTAAGTTATGCTGAGCTCAATAAGACTTGTCAGTGCCTTTGAGCTGTGTTTCATGAAATAGATCAACAATGCTGAAATAGAGCATGCCAGAAAGATGTATATTTTATAGTGCCAATGACACTTCAATTAATAAGTAAAAATATTTCTCTATTTTATAGCTAATAATATATATCATTAAAAACATAAGCAGTCACTTATATGTGCAATTTTTGTTTTTTAACTTGTTACACTGATGTAAACATCTATGAGGACCTGATTCTTTTAAAGCATGATATATATATATAGAGAGAGAGAGAGAGAGACATATATGTATATATATGTATGTGTGCATGTATATATATGCATATATATATATCCAGATATATGTCTTAAATGAGCTTAAGCAATGTGTGTTTAATAAAACAAAACCAGTTCTAGTATCCTTTATAAGATCACATTTATCATACCATGACCCAAGTGAAATCTGTTCAGATTCCATTGACTATCGTTGAGTTAAATGCATCCACAGGAAATTCTTCCTTACCTGACTGGCAATCTTAGGTTGTTACTCAAGTGTCGTATCAATAATTTAATTAAGGATTGTCCCTTTTGGGGTGGGTGGTACCTTTTTAAACTCTGAGTTTTGGAGTAATGCTGTTAGCTATTTGTGTGAGCTGGCTGTCTTCCACCTGAGTGATTTGCATGTACTCAAGTGTGAAATTGTGGTGCTCTTGCTCAATTGAAAGTTGCCAGGGCAAATGATGTAGTAGCTCCAGAAGACCTGGCATGCTGCCTTCATACCAGAGGACCAAGTTTTCGGAACTCTGCCTGCAAGCATACTAGGTTCTACCCAAATGCACAGTCACGCTGAAAACTGAAATACAACCACACAATGAGCCATAGGGGAAAATGAGCTCTACCCTAAAATTGCCAAACTAAATTATTAAAATTACTATGCAGTGATGGTGAACTTTAAGTCCCAGAGAAGGTTCTTCATAGACAAGTAAGCACTATGCAGACCATTGATACACAAAACAAAAAGGTAGAGAGCTACTATTTCTGTTAAAGAAGAAAAAGGCAAATCCCTAAAAGCAATGCTAAGACATGGATGGATAAGAACTGTAAAATTACCAAAAACAATGTAAAACGACTCTGCCTGCAAAGTTCATAATTCACTTTGAAGATTACAAAACAAAGTATCTTAAAATATTTAAGATCTTAATCTTCAGCATGGCTTGTTCAGGCATATTCAGAAACTTTGCATATTCAGAAGGCCAGTTGGCCCTAACAGTGTATCTGTGAAAATAAATATGAACACAAGTATAGGTGTTTATATGTATGCATGTCTGTGCATATATTCACTTAAAATATTTGATGGAGATCTTTTTGAGCATTTTCATTTCACTACTTTCTTCATATTGTCAACCATCAACCCAGTTTCTATAGTGAAGAGATATCTCCTGCACACACAGCCTTTTATGGTTTAGATCTGAAATGTCCACCGAAAGCCCAGTGTTAAATGCTTAATCACTGGCCTGTGGCAAAATTGGAAGATAAAGAGACATTTAGGAGACAGATCTTAGTGGAAGAAAGGTCCTGGGGCTGTACCTGACCTTGGTTTCTCTATCTCTCTGTCTCCGTTTCTGTCTCCTTGCTGTTTTTCTCTGTGTTGCTGTTTCCCTGCATCTCTCATCATTTGTCTCTCAGTTTTTCTGTCTCCTCTTTTCTTTTCTGCCTTCTGCTCTCTGCTTTTGCTCTTCCTATTTCCTAGATTTTATGTCTTCAAATTTCTTGACTTTCTCTTTTTGGAGGAGTACATCAGTACATTTCTGTGGAAGGACTCAAGGTGAGTACGTTTTTTGAGCTATATCTGAATATATCCTATTCATATATAAAAGTTTAGGTGAGAATAGATTTCTAGGCTGGAAATCATTTTTAATAAAGATTTTAAATCATCTTTAATTTTAAATTGCAATAGCCACTGAAAATGTCAATGCATTTTTATGGTACTGGAATTTAAACTCAGGATTTCAAAGGTGTTGATCTGGCATTCTATCACTTGAGCCACACACCCCAGGCTTGTAATCTTAACATTTTCCTCTGAGAATACTTAAGAATTTTTATTTACCCTTGAAATTTTCTCAGAAGTCTCATATTACTCTGGGTTTCAGTTCTGAGAAATTTTATAATTTATTTATTTTTGTCAGCCGTGGGGCTTGAACTCAGTCAGGGCCTAGGCACTGTCCCTGAGCTTTCTTCACTCAAGACTAGTACTCTACCACTTTGAGCCACAGTGCCACTTCTGGTTTTCTAATGGCTAATTGGAGATGAGCGTCTCATGGACTTTCCTGCCTGGGCTGGCTTTGGACCATGATCCTTAGATCTCAGCCTCCTGAGTAGCTAGGATTACAGGAATGAGCCACTGGTGTCCAGCTTCAAATATTCTTTTTTTTTTTTAATTTTATTTTATTGTAAAGATGCTTTACAGAGGGTTTACAGTTACATGAATAAGGTAATGAGTAGTACAATTCTTGTCCAACATTGTTACCTACTCTTTTGTTTTTCTCCCACTATCCCTTCCTTCCCTGCCCCCAAGTTGTAAAGTTCATTTTTGACATAGTGTCCTGTGAGTATCATTGTTGCAATGGGTCATCCTTTATCCTTGTCTCAGCATTTTGTTATTCCCCTTTCCTTCCCCAAATCAGATAAATGTATATACAAGATGCAGGGTACCAGAATCAAAGTGATTTCCAGGGATAAACCAATGGAAAAAAATAAATTAAGAAAGAACTATATACAGTACATGGAAACAACAGGTTTGGGTTTTTGTGGGGGGGGGGGGGGGGAGTTGGTTGGTGACCTTGTCGCCAGTTTCAAATATTTCTTAATTGCATCTCTTTTGGATTTTTTTTCTAGAAATCTTGTTATATCAGCTCCCTGATATATAGATCCTTTTGGGAAGTTTACTGTTGCCACTGTCTATTTTGAAGTAGAAAATAGAGCATTCTCTACTTACACTTTAAGCCTTGACCTGTGATTTTCTATCATTTGGCTCATTCTCTAAATGTGAGCCACTATATTATTTTATGAATGTAACTTTTTTTTATCTTTCCAAGAATATTAATGGCTTGTTAATTGTTTTAAAGTTTCTACCTATGTTCAATTCTGTTTTCTCCATTGTGACTTTTTTTTTTCTATTGGTTTTACCCTCGGAATTTCATAATGAATGCTTTGCTCAAATATCTGATGATCCATCTCTGTGTCTAATAAAAGAGCATCGTGTCCTTTCTGGAAAGCTCAGTGGTGTGAAAGGGCTTGTTGATTCTGTTCTTTTCTGTGGGGTGCTCTGATTGAGGCCTTGGGAAGTATGATGACAGGTTACCTCCTTTTCTTTCTTTTTGTTTCTACTATTTCTTTTTCTGGTCCTGGGGCTTGAACTCAGGGCCTGGGCTCTTTCCCTGAGCCTCTTTGTTCTCAAGGCTAGCAATCTTCCACTTGAGCCACAGCACCACTTTCAGCTTTTTTGAGTGGTTTATTGGAGATAAGAGCCTCATGGACTTTTCTGCCTGGTCTGGCTTTGAACCATGATCCTTAGATCTTAGCCTCCTAGGCATGAAACACTGGAGTTCCCTGTTCTTTCTTGCTTTGGATTTGTGGATTTTTTTCACCCTATAAGCTCACTGATTTCATAGGATTTAGAAACAGAACAGAAGGAACACAGAGTAGAATCTACTATTCTTTTCATCACCCGTTTCCATCCACGTTGAGTGCGGCATTTATAACAACTGGAAAGCCTTTAAAATTGGGAAGTGCTCTCCTCTCATATCTATGATGGGGTAAACTTCTGTGTCTCTCTAGTTCATTATAGTAGCCCGTGTAAGCTTCAGATGATCTCTTCACTCTTGTTGAGCAAATTCCTCCAGTTGTTGTTTCTATAGTAATGAGATAAATTCTCAAACCAAGACCTTATTGCTCCTTGTTTTAATCTTGTACTGGCTTTCAGCTATTCTCCAAATAACATTCACACACCTCGCTGTAGCCTTCATGACCTCCATGACCCTGTCAGCCTTGCCTCTTGTCTCCTCTCAGGCCACATTTTCTCTGCAGTTTCTACCTTTATTTGTGTCAGATGTTACGTTGCTTCTTGCTTCCCCTCCTGTACTCTGAATCCTAAATAAAAGCATCCTTTCCTCCTTCCATTTTTTATTTAGCTCAGTAACACAGCTTCAAAAGAGACTGCTGTTGATAGAGGAACCAAATCACCAGATTTATTCCTTTGTTATATTGACTACTACCTGAAATGATTGTCAAATTTTATGTGTGTCTTTTGTCTCACCCAAAAGACATCTCAATGAAGGCAAGATAATGAAGCCCATGTCACATGATGATTCAGGTAGACTTAACCAGAGTTAATTTCTGTTGCTGGAAATAAGAACTGTGATGGGTGGAATAATAAAATTGCAAATGCATTCTACCACAGAGTCACAGAAACAATGCTTGTCCTAGTTAACAAGATGTTATAAGAAGTTAGTCTCCTTTAATACAAAAGATATCAAAAAGTATTTTATACTTAATGCTTTAAAGCATAAGACCCACTAGAAAACATTAGAATTCTCATTCACACAGTGGATGACAGGTTAGTTCCCTGAATATGAACATTTTTTGTATGGATGCTAGTATTAAAGAGAATGAAGAGGGGAAATGAGAAAGACAGAAAGAGAGGGAGGAATTGAGAAAAATAAAAATGGTTTAGCTTGACAAATGATCAACTTTAACAACATCTTGATAAAAAAATTATTGCAATATATGCATTATTTCATCAAAGTGCAATATGACAGAGACCACAGGCATCTTTACAAAATTCTATAGTGTGAGAATAATAGAACCAAAAAGTACAAGTTCACATAGCACACAATAACTTTATGCAACTCATTACCCAAAGGACATATGGGAAAGGAAATCTTGCATTACTATCAAGCAGACCTTGTAAATCTGAGGGCTGAGAACCCTCAGTCAATAAGGACAAGTGGGATGTTTCCCTCATCTCCATACTTCAGAGCAGTGCCCACAGATGCCACATTTCCTTGACTACTGTATCAGTCATGGAGACCATGCTCATTTGATATTAGTAATGAAAGTATTTACTTCTAGCTAACTCTATTGTGACTACAAGGTGTTCCCTACAAGGGACCAGAACCTTTATGCTGCCAAGGGCTAT